GGGAGGGGAGGGGGGGTGGGGGGGGGGGGGGGGGGGCGTGTGTGGTTGGCACTGAGATTGCTTCATCTGTATAGTATGAGCAAATATCCACAGTGGATGCAAATATCCTCAGAAGGATGGAAATTTGCCTCTGAGCCTGACGGGAACGAGCTCCAACAAAATACCTCTTGCACTATGGTATCTTTCCACTAGAATCCTACCATACATTGCTCCTGGTTTGTTCACAGAGTTTTAAAACAGGACCACAACCACTCCAGGAAAGAGATTTATTTACTCATGTCCATGGGAAAATAACTACACAAAACCATGAAAGTATACCAGTTGTGTCCTAGTTGGATAAATACCGCTATGTCTCATTTAGATATGGAAAAAAATGGGAAGCTATAAAACTTTGCGTAATACAAATATTGGTCCTCTGAAATCTTCATAGTCAGCAAGCATAGAGTAGGAAAAAGAGTTCTCCATTTTTAACTGGTAGAACCAATACTGGGTGGAGAATGTCAGAACTGCCTAAAAGATTACTCAAGACCAAGATATTTTTAATCAGTCCTCTTTTTAATCAGGCCTCTTTGTTTCTTTGGATATCCAGCTTGAGACACCATTAGTGGAGTAAATATTCAGAAAGCCTTGAGCACCCACTCTCTGAAAAACTGGTTGCATTAAGGTATCTGAAGATGAGCACCAAGAATTGCTGCATCCAAAATAAGTTTGCATCAGAAATCCAAATTCCCTCAAACTGGTATTTAGGGAGGACCTACTGCTTTAGGCAGCTCTGAAAATCCTAGGCACCATGCACAGTGCATGTTTTTCTCTGACACTGGCAGATATAGGTAAACATCTTCCACCTAGACCACTGCAGATTTAGTGGAAAGAAGTATTTCAATAGTTATTTTCTGTTAACTCTAAGGAGGATTAACTAAATAATTCAGGGCTAGTGATACTATTTTTCACTGATAGTTTAAAAAACAGATGTACTTTTTGGATACAAATAAGATGTAAGGAAGTGTTTTTTTCTCTTCTAAACCTTAATAGCTGGTTTCAGATTTTATTTAATAATCTTGTTCTAAGACTTCATAATTTTAATGATTTTTTTCTAATTTTTGTTTCTTGTGATATGTAAATAGGTAAGAAATATTAAATATTGTAATGTTCTTTCATTAAGACAATAACATTTCAAAGGCTAATGTAAAATCAAGCTGCTAAAGTTTACAATTTCTCTGTCCAGCAGTTCATTTATACAACTGCCCTGAGTAGATGCTATATGCTGCTTAGCAAACGGCCTTTAAGAGTTTAAAAATAACTCAGTAAAGCTACTCAAAGGTAATACAACACTTCTCAGGCATCTTTAATTGGAGTTAAGAAGAAAACAGGGCTTTCTTATTAGTTAATTATTCACTCCCTCATCAATGTTTTATACACAAAAAACCCCACAATTGAAATGTTCAGAAGAATTAATTGTGCTTGTTCCTATGCATGGGACCATGAGCTTATTTTTCAGAAAGGCAAGATTTTAAACTGTAAAACTAGTCCTATTTTTTGGACTGTTTTAGCTGCTTTTATTAAACTCTGTGTTGTTCCCATGTGAAACCAGTGAAAACAGTTATTTTCTAACCTACGTTTTTGTGAGGTTTTTTTGCAAAACCTCACTGATCCCCTTTAACAAAAAGATTATCTTATTTCAAAATTCCTGATATAATCAATTTGCAGTATTTCTCAAACTGCTACAAATACGTAAAATCTGTGCTTTTAAAAGCTTCTGCTTTGAGTAGCCTTACATTCCATAATTGTGCCCTAGCAATCATCAAGCTCTATTGCATGCCCCATTCATGAAAAGTATATTTTGTTGGGATGATGTAGCTTAAAGAATTTGGCTCTAAAAATTCCTTACCTAGAGCTTCCATTAAATTATATTAATTTAAAATATCTATGGAATGATACTTTTACAAAAATACTAAAACAACAACAACAAAAAAGTTAATGGGTTGGCTTTATGAAAATGACTCTTTACAGTAAGTAAAAAAGGTTTATCACAGTTTTGGTAACTTGCATGAGTTCATATCGAAAAGAAATCTTTCACATGTTCTTAATGATTTTAAAACTTTTGTGCTCTAGGTATTTTCAGTTGTACGCTCTGAAACAGTAGACACCATACAGCTTGTGCTTTTTATCAGGGAAGCCTACAAAGCGAACCGCTGCTTCGTTAGGACTGCAGCGTTTCCTTGGCCTGGAGATTGGGTAGCGGACGCTGCCGTCAGCCAGCCAGCCAGCGTCGCAGCGGTCGTACCCCAGGAGCTTCCAGGCGGCAAATATCTGGCCAACTTTAGCGATCTGAGCTCCATCCTTCAAGCACGCCTGAACAGCTTCGTCGTAGGTCAGCTTGGTTGGGTGAATTAGGTAGTAAAAACGACCTAGTAAGAGAAAGAAGGAAAAAGGGTCATTAGTGACATGATTAAGGTGGTGTAATAATATAATGGAGGCTTTTGAGAAGAAATGGAGGTGTTCCACTGCAGAATGATATCAAACAGTGGTTGATTTGGGACTGTGCAATTTGGACATTGCGCTGTTAAAAAATACCTTAATTTTTTGCATGGTGAATTGATAAATATCAAGAGTAAAAAAAAAAAAAAAAAAAAAAAAACCAGGAAGAGAAAACAGACTATTCGAACAAAAAAAGTAGTGCTACATTTATTTCTGTTAACTTAGGACAGTATGGCCTCCCCACCCCCACCTGTATTCAGTGGTAACTGAACTGTTGCAATGCATTTTCATCCTCAGAGGCAGAGAAACAGGAAGAAAAAGATCAGGGGAGAGGGATGATGGAAGATGCCCTGGGATTCTGAGGAGGGCCCCTGTTTTGCATCTAACTTTATGGTGCCAGATGCATTTACCAACAAGGTGACAATGACAATCTAGTGAAACATCTGAGGAACCCTGTAGATTTCAGGCAAAGTGGATCTCATACAGCTGTAGCTTACTGTCAGAGAAGGAAAGCCGTTAAACATCCATAGCAGTTCACTTCTACATTATGCTCCCAGCATTAGCTTGAAACCCTTACAAGTTTTCCTCTCAGAAGCATGGCATAGCAAGATCTGGCCTTTGATACCATTTGGGTGAGGGTGGCTGGAGGTAACACATGCAGGTTTACTATCTGACAAGGCGGTGACCTTGTTTCTGATTAAGTACAAGCACAATTTTTTTTTTTTTTGTAAGAAAGCTGAGATATTGCGCAGCTTCTCAGAAGCAGAGTTTGAGCCTGTGGTAGATCAAAACCATGCCTGTCTTAAGTCTTCATTAGCAGTGTCAAAACCACGCGCAGCAGTTCCGCAGCTCTGTTTCTCTTTAGGCATCAAAGGGTATATCCTCACCATAAGGCAGCATTGAACTGATAGTGCTGCTAAGAAAAATGTGCCTCTGTCTCAAGGTAATGAAAACATATGCCAGCAAGTAAAGCTCAAAAAGGAAGTCTCCCCTACTAATCCATAAGCAGCAATACTACTAACATTAATTTTGTTTATCAAGGCAATATAAATTAATTGTTAGCCTTTAATTCATTATACTTAGGGTTATTTATCATCACTGCTTTCACAGTTAACTAAGTGTGAGGTAGAAATGGATTGCAGAGGAATAGTGTTCATTTGAAAGAATAACAATTTCCAAATAAATTCACAAGCTTTCAATCTGACTGTCCTGTAAGAAGCAAGTTAGATGAAAAACAAAAGAATTTATTCATGTGGGGATCTTCTAATTCCAGAGCACACTCTTTACTTCTTAAATAACAATGTACTCCAGAATAATATCCTTTTTCTTCCTCATAAAAAACAGGCGGACACACAAACAGAATTCTGCTCAGTTTCAGATTACTTGCTTGGTGAAGAAAAAGCAGTGAGCAAGATGAAGAGTTACGTCAGCTCCACATCCCTGAAAAAAACATATGGCTTTTTTCTAAGTGAAGAAATGTCAGGTCAGATGACAATATAAATATAATTGAATTACCTTTGTGTGAAGGTTGGAAATTGTGTACCGTGACAAGAACATTTAAAAAAAAAAAAGGCATTTACGTTGCAGCTGTGGTGAAGAAACTTTTAAAAAATTTCATTACTGTCAGAGAAAATATCTACAGTACTTCCACAGAAAACTCATGAGAGTAGATAATCTACCCCTTTGTAAAATGCTTGCTTAACTCCATTTCAGCAAGTTGAGAGTATTTACAAAGTGTTGCTAAAGGAATGTTTATCAAGTGGAAACCTGTTTCTACTATGTTATTAAGAGGTTTCCCCAAAGCAAACAGGATTTCAGACTTAGTGGAACAGGGATTTGGACTGATAGTATGTAAACTTCACCTAGCTTATTAGGTGCTCTTCAAACCATATGTCAATGGAATGTAATTTCCTAGGGCTTTGCAGTAAGGTCAGGCTTTTGACATATGACATCAGTAATAAAAATGCCTATACTCTGCCCCTTCCTTAAATGGGAGAACTTTAGTACTAAACCCCACAGGGATGCAAAGTGTATCCAAAATGTCTGATTAAATAAAATTCTGTTAATAAACTCAGTATAGATTTGCTGGGTTTCCCCTGCTAATAGGTTAGAAGGATTCCTAACTCTTCAATCTTAGTATTTATTAATTGATGTGGAAGGAGAGGGAGGCATTAAGTGTCTCTCTCTCATTAATATCTGATAGTTGGGTCACTCCTACAGAGGATGAGCTTGCTTGATTTGACTTCTCACATCCAAATCATGGGGCAGAGAGTTTATGCAAACCTCTACCCCACTCTGGTGAGACCCAGCTCTGGGACCCCCAACATAAGAAGGACATGGACCTGTTGGAGCAGGTCCAGAGGAGGGCCACAAAGATGATCAGAGGGCTGGAGCACCTCTCCTCTGAAGACAGGCTGAGAGAATTGGGGTGGTTCAGCTTGGAGAAGAGAAGAGAAGGCTCCACGGAGACCTTATGGCAGCCTTCCAGTACCTAAAGGGAGGCCTACAAGAAAGCTGGAGAGGGACTTTTTACAAGGGCATGCAGTGATAGGACAAGGGGTAATGGCTTTAAACTGAAGGAGGGGAGATTTAGATGAGATGTCAGGAAGAAGTTCTTCACTGTGAGGGTGGTGAGACACTGGAACAGGTTGCCCAGAGAGGCTGTGGATGCCCCATCCCTGGCAGTGTTCAAGGCCAGGTTGGATGGGGCTTGGAGCAACCTGGTCTAGTGGAAGGTGTCCCTGCCCATGGCAGGGGGGTTGGAACTAGATGATCTTTAGGGTCCCTTCCAACCCAAACCATTCTATGATTCTACGATTCTAATCACACCCGATCTATAATAGCTATTTTAAGCTTTTGCATGTAACAGAACAGCCTAAAGAGGAAAACTTGAGCACTTGACCTAAATACCCTACACCCTTGTGACTGTGCAAGTTTGAGGGATGCACCACCCTTGGAGATTTTTCCAAGCTCACCTCTAAATTGAGAGATGGCCCATCACCTTCAGAGGCACAGAAAAGCAGTACCACCCCATTCACTATTTGCTGCACAAAGTGTTAATGCAATGCCTTTGAAAGAGGGTTCTTGGTGGAGTGCTGAGAGAGGATGCCTCCACATGCAGCCAGCCACCAAGTATCTATGCACTTGGGCTCAGCCCTAAGACGACTCCCAACAGCTTACTGGTTTGCTGGGGCACCCACTTGCTTAGTCTCGTGCCTTCAGTGCTGTGCAGGGGCAGCCGAGCAGCAAACTCGTCTTGGTGGGTGGCAGCACACATACAAGAAATGCTGAGTGCAGGACTGCCTTTGCAGCCAGCGATCAATGCCTATGCCAAAAAGCTTATGGCTACAGAAATCAGTTAAGTAGTTTTACTCTGTAAAACTGCTCTAATTTGTGGTTTCATATGGCCATAAAAGGCATTCTGAGCAGTTAGCGCGGTATATCTGTAACTTGCACAACATGTAGACCCTATCATCTGTTCAGCAGACTCAGTTCAGCATATCGTATAGCAATACTAAATGGTTGAGCGAGGCCATTGTTCCTCAAAATTGAAGAACTTGTTAAAAATTTGTGCAAAGTGAGATGCTTTCAATTCCTTTAATCATAAGGTCCTGATAAGTATTTTGATATCTGGTGATCATCTCAGGTAACTGATTTTGAATTGCCCTGATATCAGCAGTGACTCCAGTGACTCCAAATCAATCCCTTCTAAGAAGGGTATGTAATTTTATTTTGGGTGGGTTTGTTTCTCTTTTTGGAACAATAGCTACATGTTCCCAGGGCTAAAATATTCTGAAATAGTCAAATGGTGGAAGTGGTTATCTTATCACATGTATTACCGTAACAAACAGGTAGTTCACAGCTGCACTTTTAACACGATCCCTAAAATTTATTATTTGTATTTTTAACTTCATTAACATGAGATTTTTACTTGATTCTGCTAGAGCTGATAACAAATCAGTTATGCACTGTGGTTCTGTGTGCAAAGTGTATAACAAAATGCTCATTAATGAGCAGAAAGTGTGATACAGGCTCTCCTTCTATCTTTTTTTGCTTTGAAAATCCTTAATTGTAGAGGAGCAGATAAATATGTTTATGTTTAGCTCACTTTACACTTTTCAGTGCAAAAGATTCCTATGGTTTTTCCTTCAGGAAACTCACTGTTCTCCTTCAGAAGGCCTTTGAAATTAAGCAAATAATAACCACTCATCTCTACCATTATATATTCTTTGCCCTATGCCTTTTGGGCTCTGTGGGGAAGACCAAACCAAAAGGATTCATCTGCATTTATTCCTCCGAATTGGTGTGTAGAAGCCCAAATTGATCTTCTAGAGGGATTGTATGGAAAAGGAGCATCCCCATTCCTTGGGGTAGGGCAGGGAGAGAAACTGGGGTAGTCTGCAGCCCTTGCAAACCTCTCGATCATGGCAGGTTGTCCCACAACATGGGGCAGGAGCCTTTAGCTTTTCTAAAGAGAACATGGACTAAAGTGGCTCCTACTGTGAAGGAAAAGTGGCAGAGAAATGGTGGTGAGGGAGCTGAGCTGAGCCATCAGACTCCACGAAATTCCAAAATGGAATTCCCAAATTTAAGTTAGAAACTTCCCACTTGTGTATATTAATTGCCTATTGCCTTTATCAACACAAGGGATGTAAAAGCAAGTTGTGAAACATGTTGCCATCCAATAGTTATTTCTATGCAGGCAGAAAAATTATGTTATTTTACAATATTTTGATGGATTTAACGAATAGCATTATGCTAATTTTACTCTTTGTATTGTTTTATGAAACACATCACTATGTATTCTTATAAACTGGTAAATTGCTGGTACTACTATATACAAAGTGTATGAAACACTTTCAGCTTTTTGGCTTTGCCTGCACAGACACAAAGCCTGAACAGTTCTATGAACCAACAGAAAGATTTGAGTATGAAGCAGTTATACAGGCGGAACAAAATGTTCAAGTATTGCACTTAAACTAAGAAAATACGCTGTAGAGGGTAATTTCTTAAAGTACTAAGATTATTCTATATTGCATTGCAGACAAACTTTGTTAAAACAGTTTCCCTGTGCAAGTAACAGGAATGCATACAGAATTCTTCACTAATGGTATAACCCCCCCCTTTTTTTATCCGTACTTTTTGGTGTATTCAGCTCACCACAGATGGGTTCCAACAGTTCCAGAGAGAAAACACTGAGCCTGGATTTGAACTCACTGCATTGATGATGACATTTTCATTTTTCACCTTAATGGCTGAAGGTAATTTTGCTGTTCTGTACCTTTCTTCTTCAGGTGAAAAAAACAAGCTTTGCATGTATTTTAGAAAAGACTTTTTGCTTTGACTGCTGAACTATTTAAAATTGGCCCCCCCCCCCCCCCCCCCCCTTTTTTATGATCCCTGAGATCATAATGTATTTGGGGGGTTTCTTTCCCTAAAAAGAACCCAACTAGCAGAAATTTAAACCTCACCCACCCTCTTTCTTCATAGCAGCTCCCACAGCTGACATTCTTTGAGATTTTTAATTTTTTTTTGAGCATGCCTTATACTCTCCTGATCCTGGGGCCTTTGGCATTTTTCCAGCCCCCTTACATAAAGCTGAAGGCTTCTCTGTTTCATACCATCAGGAGACTCCAGCAGTCACTGCCACTGCTGGAAATGCATGGTGTCCTAACCACTTCTCATTTTCCTTGGCTGTTCCTGAGCTGAGAGAATCAATATTGGGTGTTGCAGAAATAGTTCTTTGCCCGTAGCCAATACCTATGGCAATTGCGACCTGGTGGCAAAATGGGGTATTATAAGCTTTTTCCTTTACAGTGAGAAAGCTAACGTGTGCTGTTAAGCACACATAAGATCTCTGAAGCATTGAGCTGAAAATAGGAAGTTGGCATTTTGGGTTGGTCTCCCATGAATAGAGGAGAATATAGCAGGGATGTGTGAGGATAATGTCATCTGGTGAGTTGCTGGTTTTGGAAATGGACGCTGAAAGAAGCAGAAGTCTAGATTTTCTGCTGATACCTTGAGAGACTTAGATGACACTGAGTTGCAGGGAACTAGAAGAGATGGTGCTCAGCTCTATATATCATTCTACTGCTGTGTAGTATTCTGTCTTGCAGGTCAGTTTAACAGATGCACCAAGAATGAGATTCATTTTAGTGTCTTGTCTTTGATTTTTCTACTACCTGTGTATCTTATCCTCACCTTACCTTATTCCTCTTTCTCTTTCTCTGTCTTGCTGTATCAATGCACAGACAATATTTATCTGTCAATACTTTTTTTTTTTGTCCAGAAATTATTTTTCTCTTTCTTAAAAGATACTGTCCAGCTGCTAGTGTGGAAAAGGGTGGTCATTAGCGAACATTAGTCACAAATGTTTACACTGCAGGCATCATAAATAGTGCAGCTATCACATTTTCATTCTTTTTCCTTATTTATTTTATTCCTCAGCACTATTTCTATAATACAGGGTTAAATCTGCATATAAAAGATGAGCTCATATAGGATTTTGCCTTGGATAATTGAAGCAAGAAAAAAATGAGCCAGCATATCATGGAATGATTCAGCATGATAAAAATCAGCTAAACTTTTGTTTCAGACTGCATCCAACCTAATTTAATATTGTTGCTTGGAGGATTTGGGTTTTTTTCTGAGATGGTGGAGCAGACTTAGCACTAGACCGTATCTTCTGAGAGAAAGGCTTATGTTTATTTTTTGTGTGCTGTAGGACAAAAATGCTCCATTGTGGATAAGCAATCTGTGCATAAACAAAAAAGGCCATGCTCCTTGGTCTGGGTGGGCTGCAAGCCAAACATGTGCAAAGTTGTGTAGGAATTATCCACAAGTGTGATGCTATAGAGGACTGTAGACTCCTTTTGCACATGTTTCCTTGCAGCGTTCCTCTCATTCACAGCAATACTTTTCAGCCACTAGGTAAAACCTGAAATGATAGCAAACTAAGATCAAGTCATTTCATACCAAAAGTAACACCTACTAATAGCAAAAAGCTTGGAGATGCTAAAATAAGGTTCAGAGCAGACCAAGCTCACAGCAAAAGTGAACAGGGTTTTGGTATGTGTACTAAGATTAGGAATCGAAGTTATTAGGCATGAAAGCCAGAAATAGTTTGCTGATAAGGAAGTATTAGTCATATTAGACCTCATACATGAGCAGGAGCTGCTTGACACAACAGCGTAGATGAAGTGGTAATCAGAATTTTGTTTTGGTGATACATTTAAGTTGTAAACCATCATAACTATAATTGAATTCAACAGGAAAGCTCAATTAATGAATCACAGGTTTCTTCGTCACTTCTTTAACTAAAATAAACTGGGCATACACCGACACTGAAAAAGTACATATAAATTTTAACAGGGTGAAAGCAGAGATATTAGAAACTCCTGCCAATGCAAGTTCTGAGTTGTAAAAACAATCTACGTGAACATGTGGCAAAGACAACTTTACTCTGCACATGTGTCCTTGTAAATTCAACAATAACATTTTCCAAGCCTAACATAAGCTTTGACAAATCAAATATCACTTGCTGCCATTGGAGTTTCTTTCCTAAGCACAGAAACAGTCATTTACAAGGTAGTGGTGAAGAAGACTCTTACCATTGAAGTTTGAAGTGAAACAGAAAACGTCATATCGGCTTTTATCTTTATCCCAGAACCCATAATTCCTGACCCCAGGCACTGTGTTCTTCCCTCCGCAAGGCTCCCTGGGCTTGGTGATAGGGTACTGCACGGAGCCGTCGCTGAGCCAGCCGGCATTGCACCAGTCCAGCCCTGACCTCCAGGCATCGTAGAGCTGGTCAAAGGAGGCAATAACAGAGTCTTGGTCCAGACACGCTCGCTGAGCCTCATGGAAATTTAAGTTGTAACGACCCAGCCGTGGTGAGTAAGGGAATACAACACCTGAAGGGGTAGAAAGAGGGTGAGTTACAGGACACTGAAAAAGCAGACGAAAGGGAAACAGTATCTACAGTCACCAGGAAAGGAAATAAAATTAACTCCATGGCGTGTGTCAAACTGTTAAGTTGTTTTATTTCTAGGGAAAAACGCACTGCCAGCACATTAGCTATTAGGTTTGAGAGGGGGACAGGGCTGCCGCCTTACCTAGCCGGCTCCTCTCCCTGCAACCTCATCCCTTTCCCAATGGGAACCATGCCAGATTTGCATGTCGCTCTCATCTGCAGCTTTCCTGTCCCCACTGTGATCTCTCCCTCGTGCACTCCCAGAGTGCTCAAAGAGGAGCAGGACTGGCTGAAATTTTGCAGCTACACAACAGAAAATTCCAGTTTATCAGCTGTAAGATCAATTTCTCATTTAAAAAAAAGTAAATTAAACCCCAGCCTAGCTCTATTTTTTGTGGGATGGGGTTTGGGGATTTTCTGGCAGTCATTTAGAAAGAAGAAATTGTAGTACAGACACATATGAACTATCTCATTTTACACGTAGACATTAAAATGAAATGTTTTGATTGACATAACAGAATGCTATGTTCTTTGCATGGACCCTTGCCAAGATTTCCTGAGAGGTTCAAGAAAGTTGTTTTTTTGTTTGTTTGTTTGCTTTTATTTCACATTATCCTAGGAACAGGAAGGTATTTCATGCCTGGCTTAATAACAACATTTCAAGGCTAAACTGGTAGGAGACATAATTTTAGTATCCTGAGGTCTTAAAGTAGGAAATCTATAGGGAAATAAAATCAGTGAAGTCGTGTGTGGTTTTAGGGAAACCTTTCTGCTACTTTCCAGCATTTTTTTTGTGGTTTGTCACAGCTCAAGGAAGGAGAACTCCTCACAGAAGGCATCAGGGAGCACAGATCCTTGAGCAGAAGACAGGTTTCCCCAAATGCAGATGGTGAGCCATGTAGCACACAGCATGCAGCAATGCAAGACAGCCCTGCTAGGAAGCCATGTGAGACACCTCCTTCCCTTGCTGCCCCTACGGCTGCCAAAAGCGCTGCTGCCTTGACCAAAGGACACATGTTGGAGAGCCACTGCACAAAGAGCACGGACCTGCCAAATGCTTCCTTCCACCCCTGAGGACCGGTCACAGGCCGTCCCACAGCTCTGTGTGTTGGTCACCACTGGTGATGGCAGAGAGACCTTCTCATAACAGAGGACATCCAAGTGGAGATGGGAGATGAGGGGACACCTCCAGGATCATTTCAGCAGCAACATTTTATCAAAGTCATTGCCCTTATCTGAGAGATTCTTCCACAGTACATTTTCCGCTTGTTTTATGAAAAATATCTGTAGTTACAGATTACATCTTGAAGCATGAAAGATGTTTCAGAAAATGCTGAAGAACCACCTCCCCATGTGGCTCTGATGAAAGAGAAGAGAGAGACTTGGAACAAAAGTTTGGATCAGACCACCCTAATCTTTGGCAGGGTTTAGAAACTTAACCCAGATCTAAATTTTACAGTTGGCTTTAGCCCAGTCTAGTAATAAGGTGAAATAAAACAGCATTGGAGAAGATCCAGCTCAGAATGTTTATTCTCAAACATCTTTGTAGAACTAAGTGCTGTAGGATGCAGAGGGACTGAAGACAAGATAATACAAGATGAGCCAAAACCTTTACACTGGTATAAAAGCCCTTCTTTCTTTTTACTTTCTTCCTGCTGATGAATTCTCCCACCTATAACAAGTTCCTTGTCTCCGGGGAAGTGTAGCATAGGATAGAGAAATTACATTATGGTCATGCAAGACTGTCACCATGCAGTGAAGCCATTCTTCTTTCATAACATTCAAACACACTTTGCTGTGTATTCCACCAGTACCTTAATATGTCTTTTCTTTCCCTTCTCTCCCTCACCCATCTATCATCCTAGAAGTGTTATTTTTGTTAAACAAAATCTTTGTTATTACTAAACCTAAGTGACTTGGTCCAAGAAAATAAAGCATGCAAATGTAAACTTGGCAGGATAATAATAAACAATATTTTGCTTTCCTTCAGCAATTAACTAGAGAGTCTGCTGAGGTTCTTTCCTTTTGTAAATCTTTTGTTAAAGGGCTTTTCAGTTATTAACTGTTCTGAACTATAAAGCATGAATGTAATGTAACACAACATGTGCTGTTAACTGTAACTTCATAAACAAGAAGCTGTAGATGTTTCATATTTTTCTGGATCTCTGTTTTTCCTTCCTCCTCCACACCTCTTTTTTAAAAAATTATTTGTTCCCCCTCAGTGTTAATGTATAGAAATATCACTGGCTATGATAAAAATGTAGCAAATGTCAGGAGTCCAAGCTTTATTACTTTACTTTATTAGAAATCAAATACTTACTGTTTTTCCAGAATGACACTTCCCCAGACAACTGACTCCTTGTCCAGTACATGTGTCTGATTTGCATATACATGTAAAAAACCACCCTAAAATCATCAGAGGTGGGTATTATTTAATCACGTTCTAAACTTACATATTTCTAAAAAATGAGCAACAATTAAATGGAAACTTTTCAAACAGATTTGATTCCTTAAGGTTTCCAGAATCACTTTTTAAAAGGGGTTAAATAGGTATGTAAATTTGTTACAAATCTATTTGAGTTTGACAGTTTGGGACATAATGTTTTAATAATATAAACATGCACAAAACTGTAATATTAGCTTTGGGCTATATTCGGGTAGACTGCATAGAAGCTGATTTTTGTTTGAGTTCATCTGCAGTACAAGTCTGCAACTGATTAGCATCAATTTCACCCTGCAGATGGGGGTGGCCATTGCTGATTTTGTAGAGCTAAATTGACTGGGTATGTATTTAGTGTAACTTTGCATTATCTTGCATCTTTGTTAATATTTTTTCTTCTTCTTCATTTCCCTATCAAATCTAGTTGAAATTTATAGTTGGATCTTACTATTCATCTTCCTTTTGTTACAATTTAGCAGTGCTGAACTTTAGTTAATTGCAAAGCATCTTCTTCAGTCTTGGATCTTATAACCCGTCAAAAGATAATCCATCCCATCTGTTCTTGAATGGACAAAAGCTGTCCTGAGGCTTGTTACTGTTCCCAGACTACAGACTGAATCTAAACTCCTGACTCCAACCCTGTGTTTCACCACTAGACAAAACACCCACTTCCAAACGTTAACAAATTCAGCTTAAAAAATGGAGGAAAACTTCCAGCCTCAGAGGGTTAAAAACTGGTTAGTTTGTGGGAAGACTGATCTGAGGAGCCTCAACTTGACCTTCGTGATTCGGCTCCCTACCCTAAGGAAGCAGCTGAGCCACTTGCAGAGCCTAATGGAGAATATTAATTTACAATATCGACTTCACAGTGTGGGTCCTCTCTCAAACATGCCGTTCTCTGGAATAGGTCCTGCCCCCAGGGAAAGACCTCCTGTCCTCCAAGCAAGGGAGAAAGAACCTGAGACACACCAATTCAGTGGAGAATAAATCTGTTAGTGAAAGAGGAGGGCCAAGTGAAGCTTGCTGTATGCACCTATGACAACGCAATAACAGTCCAGAAAAATGACTGTTGTAATAGAAATTAGGATTTCTACCAAATAAGATCCGGATGTATAACATATCCTCCCCATAAGCACACCTGTATTTCCATGAATGCATTACATTTAATTCTGTAAATGTACAATTCTGTTTCAGTTACTGTCGTTTTTAGGGAATGCAAAAGAGATTATATCTGTGTGTCCTCTGTAAGCTATTTGTATTTCAGAGTCTTATATGCAGGTAATCCCTAAAATTCAGTGCAAGTGCTCTGCAATTACTCAGTCACTACAGACATATTGTCAGTGCAAGGAGCAGTAATGATTACCCCAGACAACAGGGTGAAGAAATAGCCCTAGAAAGCTCAACTCCTGTAACAATTTATGGGTGACTATTAAGCCAGCACCGTACACAATTAGCAGTTTTAAGGGTATTTACACATAGAACAAAACAACACAAATTTCTGTTGACCCATATGGAAAAAAAGGTCTTTTTATAGCCAAAGTAAAGAAATGGGCTTCCTTTAGTTCTAGCCCAAGCAGAAAAGTAAGTTTTCTTGTAGCCAGTGTAAACACAGGGTAACGGTAGGGTTTGCTATATACTATACTGTAGGGTACAGTTTTATGCTGGCAGGTTCATACACTTGATGGCAAAATTTTCCATGCTGGGTTTCTAAAACTCTGTAAAAAGTGGTAAGTCCCTCATTTTCCTTGAGACTCTATCTCCAGTTCTCTGCCTGTCAGGACTGTCAGATAACTGATCATTCAGCACAGACTCCATGGGTGGACCACTAGCTGTCAGCAGGTATCAATCTCCCTAAAAATGAAACTGAAGCTTCAGATGGTGTCCATCCAGGCCACAGCATCCCATAACCAAGCTGTCAGTGGGGTTCCTTATTTCTGACAAATACAGGTATATGAACTAGACTCACCTAGCCTGGGAGCAGATTATTCGCTTATTTTTCTACAGCCTTTATCAAAATTTGGAGACTCTTGTCTTTCCTTGCTCTCCTTAGGCTAATTAGTCCTAATTCTTTTAGCATTTTCCTTTTGGGTCATCATTTCCAGATAATTTTTTGCTGCTGTATTATCAACTTTTTACTTCACCTGCATCATTCAAGTACCATTTCTCACAGCACTTGCAAACACAGCGGTGTCTGCAAAGACCTGTCACCCTGTCACAGAAGGAATTACATTGGTCTGTCACAACTTACTCTTGACAAACTCCTGTCGCCTTTTACAAGACTTTTTGTTGTCTTCTAGGGACCCAAAAATCGTGTGTCCTATAAAATCAGTTTTATAGTAGAGAGTACAACAGATTGTCATGCAAAGGATATTTAAAATAGCTTTTTGTGTATAAATATAACAGCAACACACAGAAGAAACAAGTATGACATACAATATTAGGCTAAATCTGATTTATCCTGCTGTTGAGAGCATGGAGTTGGTTTCATATTGGTTTCAGCCATGAATTCCCCATTGCTTACATCCAGCTTAAGAGCAAATGACTGGATTAGAAAATGATTGTTGTGAAAATTTAGAAGAATTTGTTTATATGAAGCTTATGGATTTGTTTGATCTGTTTTGAACTATAAAGTCTGTTTTTGAAAGAGATGCCTGTTCTTTTTCTAACTCTATCTTGGACATAAAGGCTAACATACCTCTAAGCAAGATCATAAAACCTGATGGGTTTTTTGGTTCATGTGGAGCCACCCAAAGAGTTAGCTTCTATCTAGAAGCAGCTTTCCACAGAGATTTTTAATGGCTTTATCTAGAGCTGCATATTTCTGGTACTGTTGAACGTACAAAGTAATTATTTTATAGCCTGTATTGCAAAACTAATGTGTTCAGTTATCACCTCTCCCTGAAGACAGAAACAATAAAAAAAATTTCTAATATAATAAAACATCTGCCTTTGGCATTTTAGTGTTGTTCCACTTTCTTTGTCACCTGGCCCATGAATCTCACAAAGCAATAGTACACAAAATCTGTGCCTTAGCAGTATAACTGAGGGCCAGTGCTGGAGCCTTTGCATTGCCTCGGAAGCTGAAGCACACAAACCTGATATAGTGAGATTCATTACAGTGCCTAGTATTCATAAGAGAGGAAAATAGTAAAGCACTAACATAAAGAAAATTTAGCGTAGAACAGTAAAACACCAATATAAAGAAAATTTAATGTAAGCTGAGAGTTCTTTCTTTGCTTATGACTCAGGCAACAATATCTAGCTGCCATAGGAGACCCATTAATTTGTTCAGCTTTCGACTCTCAGAACATTTGACAAAGAGTGTAAAACTCATGATCCATAGTTTATGTGCAGGAGGGGAGGAAGGCCAGTTCAGTGAGAAAATGGCTTTGGTGACAAGGCCAACATAAAAAGTGTCCTGCTCTCTGCAGTACTTGACATTTCTTGCAGCCACTGTGCCCAGCCCAACCCTCCTCCCTTACACTAGTCCTTATACTTAAGGATACAAACAGGATGATAATTGTGACATGATTGAACCGTTCTTAAAGCTGGTGGTTGTGAAATACTGCAGGGAATCCTAGTCCTGAGCTGTAGCTGCGAGACAGCACTGTCTGTCTAGTACAGGAGGGAAATGGTACGGTTCTGCATTAAATAATAGTGAAGAAAACAAACCCAAACCACGTAAGGTATGTAACAAACACAGACTGAATCTAAATCCACTATTTTTTCAAAGCTAAAAGTACCCAATTATTATGAACAGTTTATTTAATGACAATCCCAGGAGGCCTTTAAGTCTAATAAGAATAAAACACTACCACATTTGGAGAAGAAAAAAGGTCCATTAAGGTAGAGGTCAACTATTTTCATATTGATATATTAACATGCTTTTACCTAGCCAAAGCTATACTGTTTATACAGTGAGCTCACATTGGAGTGATCAGCTGTTTTGTACTGCTAGTGGGCATTCCTGGATATAAATGGTTTTGTCTTGCTGCCAATTAACATCCTTAGGGCCACTATCTCAGGACATCAGGCTATTGATGCAAATCCTTCCCACTGTGAGATCAACCTTATTATTTATAACAGATGTAGAATGTTGGAATGGGTTGATATATTTTTATTTTTGTCCAAAGATTGATTTTTTTTCCTTGATCTGTTCTGCATTGCTCAAATACATGAAACAGCAATTAAAACCAGCACTACATAAAGCTGAAGATGAGATGAAAAAACAAGCATGGGGCATGCAAACAGAGGAATACATTCCATCAACTATATAAGTCCATTGTAAATATAAGTGTGTTTTAATCACTATTATTTTAGAAGGAAACTTCAATGTAACTTAGACCCAGAATAACTGGAATTAGCTGTCATAAGGAGGACTGACACCGATACACTCACTAGTCTTATCTCACATGAGAGGTTACATTTTATCATGAGGTTTGGCAAATGAAATTTTCCTGTCAGTTTAGGAAACATCACTCTAGAATGTCAGAAATGAACAGTCTTACACCTGTCCCATGTCTGACAGAAATCATTAAAAAGACATTGTTTCTTATGTTAGCCAGACACTAGTTAAATATATATAAACTTTCCTTTGAGGACAGATTGGAACTTCTTGGTTGGAGAAATATGAATTCTCCTGTCCTTACGAGTTTCCTCATTTTGGAGGTGGGGGAAAACAAGAAGGAGTGGTGCAGTTGTACAGGGTGGGCTGGAGTTGGCATACTTCAGGGGGAGACACTGTTTAGACTAACAGTCCTTTTTTCGGTTGTCTTACTGCCTGCAGTAAAGAAAAGATTTCTCATTGCTTTCGTGCTCTAGTATCAATCAGATATCGCCTTTCAAATGTGGAATTGCATGTGCACAAGCATGTACCAAGCTTCAGGCAAACCCTCCTGATCTGCCACTACAGCCATCAGCATCTCCCCTTCCCCAAGCACTCCTGGCACAGCAGGATGCATTTGTACTGGAACCTCCTTGCTTTTAATAGCAGAAAGCTAATGAACTTTTGCTTCAGAGGCACAATGCTAAGTGGCACCAGATGAGTATCCGGTCCAGATCTGTGGTGTCATGAACATGTTAAAGATTTTACACTGGCTCTGACCCCTTTTCATTGGCAAAAATACCATAATGCCATAAAAAGCAGGGAAATCCCACTATCTGATGGGGAACAAGATATATAGTTATTGACCTGGAACATCTCAAAGCCTGATGGAGGTATGTGCTTAGGATGTAAGGAGACTGTCAGAAGAATATTATCTAATTACTGAGCATCCTCGCAACCCAGGAGTGCGCTCCAGGACCATCTGCACAACAGTGCGAAAGAAGAGGCGTGCTGGGGTTAAACACAGCCAAAGAGATGTTGTGTGTTTCTGACCTGGATTACATGGTGCTTGCTATTCCTCAAGTGTAGTAAATAGCTGCACTTACCACATTTTTATTTATATCCTTATTGTCTGGGAACCACCCTGTGAGGTGGATCACTCTTGTCCCCTGGGGCTGCCCACCTCATAACATGTCTTCCAATGCCAGGGCTCATACCTGCAGCCTGGGCAGAGGACTTTGCTTTTGGTTAGGTAAAGCTGAGCATGCCAAGCAGAAACTGCTCTCCCTTTAGTGGCTTCTCTCAATAACAGCAGCTGGAAGGAGCAAACACAGCAGTTCCCACCCGAGCGAAGAGGAGATTGACCACATGAGAGCTTTTGGCTAGCACAGTAGAATAAAGTAAAATGCTTTTTCCTCCTACTCATTTCTGTCTTCACTCAAAACTGTTTTAGACAACTTAAACTGGACATGTATAAGTCCAGTTTTCTTTATCTCCTAAGTTTGAAAAGAACAGTGTACATTCTTGTCAAAGATGGTTTATGTGAGGTGAAACAAGCTAAATCAACTATCCTGCTGGCATGGAAACTGGGCAGGGCCTTTCTGCACTCAGAAATGGAAGGCTGCAGCAACCTCCAACAAGGAATGGAAAAATAGATGCAAAGAAGTAAGCCAAGCCCATGACATCTATTTGGTTCCAAGAAACACTCAGCCAGTCTTGTTGTGCAGGGTAACTGTGTAACCGTGATAATGTACACTAGCTCTCAATGAAAGTCATCTATTTCACCTGTTTACAGGTGTGAGAGCCAGGGATGTGATTTTTCTTCTTCTCTTCTCCTCTTCTCTTCTCTTCTCTTCTCTTCTCTTCTCTTCTCTTCTCTTCTCTTCTCTTCTCTTCTCTTCTCTTTCCTTTTTTCTTTTCCTTTTCCTTTTCACTTCCTAACTACTTTTCCCAGATAACGTGGCTTCTATAAAGTTGTCTCTGGCACACACTTGGTGGTAAGTATAAGGATAAAAGAGAGACATCTTCATGCAACTTTTAGTTTACTAATTAGTTCAGTGCAGTGCTTTGGGGTAAAGGGCCAAGTGTTGGTTTACATGCATTGAATCTCATAAAATTTATCTGAATTTCATAAGAGTAAAGGAAAGCTGAATTTTTGGTCCTCTTTAAACCTATTTCACTAATTTTTCTAATGCTTTGTACTCTGTTGTTTTCAAGAATGTTGCTGAAAGAAATGACTACAGACGACATGTAGGAGTTGTCTCGGCAGGCAGTAGAGAGATCTATTTTATGTAATTATAAGGCTGGAAAAAACAAAACCATTGTCTTTGGAAAACTACTTTAACATTTTTCCTCTTTGTAAGAAGATTTGTATTTGCTCGATTATCTCAAATGTCCTGAAGTTTTGCAAAATGGCTATTAGAGGAATATTTAATATAATTTTGCCTAAGTAAGTCTACTGTAAAAACATGCAATGACTTCTGTAAAGTGACAGGAGAAAATTAAAAACATATAGAGTTCTTCATACTATGTTTGGTCATTCTTTTTTGGCTCCCCTCACACCAGGTCTCACTGGTAGCTGAATATGCTGTAGGCTAGCATAAGTTATAGAAGTCTTAATGTTCTTCTAATTTATGATTGTTGTCATGGGCTGTCAGGCTGAGATCCCCAGAGCACAATGAATCCCACTTCTCAGCTTGCTGTTATCACTGATAATACAGTATCAGCAGTATTAGAAGAAAAAAGCAGGTATCCTTAACACTGCACAAATCTGAATTTAAGTATAAATCAGGTGTTACCTACCTTCCAAATTCAGGGCTACCACTGCTGTATCATCCTCTAATCCTTCAATCACCTCACACTTATATCGCCCATAATCCTCCAGTATTATATTTGTGATTATAAGAGAGGCATCATTTTCACTGCTTTCCCTCAGAAACACTCTGCCATGGTAGTTTCCATAGCTCTTTCTGTGGTGTCCCATTGCAACAAAGACGTCCACTTCTTTGAGGTAATCTGAGGTGAGTTTGGTCCACTTGACCCGGATTTTGTGGGTTCCTGAGCCAGCTGTTGATGTGTGTTCATGGTAAAATTTACATGGCAGTGTGACATTGCCACCCCGGTGTGAGAAGATTTTAGCTTGCTCTGCTACCACAAGTAGACGGGGTCCATTTTCTGCTAGGATTCAAGGAGAAAAACAAAAACAAGAATTAGTCTGCAATCTATCTTTTACAGAATGGATATGATCAATGCCATAACAACCATCAGCTATACTATACATTAAGTCTGCAGGATCATTTCCCTGCAAACATTTTGTACCTACGCAGTAGTAGAGTGTATAAACCAGTTATACATAATTATTTACTTAGCTGCAAGTATGTCTGTGTGTGTACACTGCCAGACAGGCAGAAAGGCAAACTGGTTCGCATTATCCCCCATATAGGCAGACCCATCCTATATACTCCATAATCATGAAGATAGAGCTGTATAAATATATTTACAGAGTTGTATAGCAGGTGGATGAATGGCATCATCCATAAAAGGCTCCACACAAATGTCCCATATTTCCCTGCGGGTTGTTCAAAAGCTGCCTATCAGTGCTGCAATTTTTTTCATAATTCAATTTTTATGTATGGACTCAGCTTATTCAGGTGTCAGCATACAAAGCCCCTCACAATCTGGGATGCCGTGAGTCACACTCACAAAACAGAAGAACCATTATTGTATCCAATAGCACTATTTATATTGACATGAAAAATGTCAGCGTAGTTCTAAAATATCTCATTTTCTATTTGTATTTTATTCCACTTTTTGAGTTTGAGTTCCTTTTCTGACATACTTCCACCAAAGTAAGAAAGTCCAATTTATCTTCAAATGTAAAATCTGGTCCTCTCCTGCCCAATTTCCCCATCATCTCAGTCTGGTTTTTCCTCGTCTGTTTTCCTCATCTCCTTCAAACTCGTCACTATTTTATCTTTGATATTTTGACCTCACTTCTTACACAAACCCATATTTAACTGGCTGGCTCCTCTCCTCCACACCCTCACTCCAGACTCCCTGCTCTTTCTCTCTAAAGAAAAAGGTTGATGTTGCTCTATAAAATCATTATGTTTAGGACAGTCAGCTTGAGCAGGTGCTCACTTCCAACTTTAAGTCTCTGGGGCTTCTTTGATAGCATGTGCTGCCCTGGGAAAAGCCTGGAAAACACAGACTTCATGGTGGCAGTCAGCAGATGTATCCAAAAGCAAGAATATTTCCTTCTTTCAGTACCTTTTGCCTGTCCTCCCATGCTCAGTTTGCAAAATTGATTTAGCAAGCTCAGCGCTTCTGTAGATATTGCTGTCCTGTATCACTGAGACACTGACCGAAACTAGCAATGAATCACCGGTGCTCTGCTCGCTGGGAAAGAATTACTGACCTCACTCTATGTAACAGATTGCAAAGAAAGACTTTGTAATTCCCTGTGTGTGTTCAGCAGGTCAATGTAACTGCCTAGAAATGTGATTCCTGACTCTAAGGCTTGGTCTGCCTCTCTCTAACATCAGCAAAAGCCAAGGCTAACTTCCCAAATGCAGATGTTGCTGAGAGGCTGACCCTGTGAAGGCTGGCAGCAATTTTCTGCTGGCATCCATGGTGATGAATCTGGATTGATAGGACAAAACTGCAGAAATGCATGCAAAAAAGTCATCAGCCAGAGAGAGGCGTGGATGACTGAAGGAGGGAAGGACTGGGATGGAGATGGGCTGACAGACGAGGTTTCAGTGAGGAGCCCACCAGAGAGTGAAAACCTGTGGTGTGTCTGCAGCCACAGCGGGTGCAGGGAGACATTAGGGTCTGTAGCTCATAAATGTCTCCAGATAGTCCTAGGCTTCTGAGTCTTGTTGACAGGTCTGCCGGCTAAATGATACGTTCACCTAAACTGCAGTTTCAGTTTGACTGCACTATCTGTCCACGCTGGCTACACTAAGCAGCAAAAGACCCAGGGTATGCAGCATTTTATGATTATGCAAACACGTTCGGGAGTGGTAATTGCAAAGACAAGCTTGCTGAGTGTGAACGTGCATCTGCTTAAGAAAAACAGGTATCCCAAATGTGTAGTTCTTTGTCAGGGGGTGCTGTGTCAGGAGCATTGCTATTACCTGCACAGGGCAGACTAGCCAGGGCACCAGCTTCCTCAAGAATGAACAAGCTTGAGCACTGCAAGCTGTTTTACCAGGACGAGAGACCTTCCTACCTAGTGAGAAATAATTACTGCAGAGCAGTCCCATACAACTGCTTTTCTTTGTCACTGCCCTTCTTCCCAGAGGTGAGCAGAGACTCAGGGCAGCTCTGATAACCCATCTTCCCTCTATCAGAGGAGAGCATCCAAGGAGAGAGGTGATTTGAGGCAAGGCACCATGGAAAGTGTTGCTAACACTGTTTCCACAAGACGAGGAGAAGGAAGAAAGTGAAGGCAGCCAGGACGGTTGGTCTGCAAATTTCCCTGTTTCCTTCAGGGACAAAGACGTTCCACAGACTTCTGTCCACGTTGGGAGGAGAAATGTTATGCTTCGGGGTGGTTAGTACCAAGAAATCTGAATCAGAGCTCAAGTATGTTGGGTCTTTAATACTGAAATAGTCAAGTCAATAAATATTGGCAGAAAGGACTGGGGCAGGAGGGAGAGTCTGACTCAGGCTGCTAATGCTCGCTCTTTCTAACAACAGCTAGTCTGCGCCAGCAAGGCCTGGAGACTTGCCCAGAGCTCTGCCACCTCTGACTCCAGCATTAGCATCCTAATGCGGTGGTGTACCTCTCTCCCTGGCTGCTTCCCACCTCCTCTGGCCCTTTGCAGCAGCCATTACCTGAGTTTATATCTCAGAAAGTGTAAAGAACAGAGGGGATGGTAAGCTGGGGAAGGAAAGAAAAGCATGGCTTTTCTAAGCTTGGAACATCTTCTACATCCTTGGAGGTTCCAAGGAAGATGCAACACTTGAAATAAGCCTCCCACCCTCGAGTTTTCTAAAAGCCAGTTCTTTTTTACAGAAAAAGAGATTATGCACCCTTTTCTTTGGAAAGGCTGTGGGGCAGAAAATTGCATTGCTGCTGCTCCCAGACCTAGGAGAGGAGGAAGGAAGAACCTCTGGATTTCGAGGAAAAGCAGATGTCAGATTGGGGGATGCTGCATAATTTCTTTTTGGTCTAGAAGACATGCAGAAGACATGCAGGGGGCAGGGACTTCAGATTAAAAATGAGATGACTGGGGTTTGGCAAGAGGCCAAGAGGCTTTCATTATCTAGCAGCCGGTGAGAAGCAGGGGCAATTCACCTAACTGCATATTTTGGGTAGCATGGCAAAATGAATGGTCTTGGTCTTTCTGGAGTTGACAAAGGAGTTAAAAAAAAAACCACAACAGACAAACAAACAAATGCCTAAACACAGAACAAACCAGAATCCCTACATTTAAAATATGTTTAGCACTCTGGATGCAGCATTCTAGCTTAGTGCTCTGAAAGTCATCTTAAATGAGGAATGAATCCTGCTTCCTGGGTTTCCTTAATACAATGGGAAACGATCTGTTTCAAAACAGTGATCTGATCATGGAAGACAGGGTAAACACTGAGGCTTATCAGACTGGCTCCCTGGCTGCTTTCCTCATGGGGTTTCTGACAAAGCTGCTCCTTCTGAATAAAATTATCTTTGTATCTAAATGGCAGAAATATCTAAAAGATGAGTGTAAGAAGGAAAAAGATGGGACACCAGAGCGTTATCACAGAGTCCAGCACGTTACTTGAAGAAGACAATACTTCTTTTCCCCCAGAACTACTTTCTTCAGAAGTACCATCAGAGAATTTGTAAGGTGAATGGCTAATCAACTATAAACTCTGTGAACCCCAGATAATCCCTCGCTAAACAGTTGTCTGCAACAGGACAGTTTGGATCCTTGCTGGCGACAAGACAGACCACATGCATGGCCACTCAAGACCCTCAGACGGTGGACGAACGGTGAGGAGTGTGCTGGGCAACCTCCAGGTGCTCTTTCTGATGGGAACAGAGATGGCAACAGCCTGGTTATTGACTCTGGTCTCAGCTCCAAGGTCAGAAATGGGATGAGAAAGGTTTTCTAGGTGGGGTTTTCACCCTTCCAGGCATATTTTGCCTTTTGAGACAGGCAGCAGCTTAGCTGTTAGCACAGAACCAGGCACCACTGGTGACTAATTTGCTGTATTTTTTCCACACCTGCTTCCCTACTATTGATCCTGACAGGCTGTGGCCTTTTGTTAATCCTCTTGGTGCAATTAAATGGATGACAAAGGCAACATAATGCAAAAACAGCTAAGTTAGCTAAAAATGAGTTTGTCCAAGTTGCAGAAGCTATCCAGCTGTGTGGGATAACACACAACTCTGGGAGCTGCTTTTCCAAGCTGATGGAAAGACTGCCTGCCACAAATGAAAACTCACTTGGAACCTTGCTGTTTGGGTCCGCTTGCTGTATCTTAGCGGTGCCAAATCAAGCAGGTACATACTGCAGGTGAAGGGGTATCTTGCTACCTTAAGTAATAAGGCACAGGCAGCAGTATGCTATCTGCCTCTGTTTTATTCTCCACCTCTCTTTCTCCCTTGTCTGAATCCTATGCAATTAGCACTGCTGTTCTAGTTGTCATTATTTTGTACACATCTAACATTGACTTTAGTGGGATTCCCATTCCAAGGACAGTAAGTGGACTTGCTCTCATGCTGCTAGAGCTCTCAATTCCATCTCACCTGATGGCTTATTGGTTTAGTTCCAAATTTTACTGCTGGACACGTATTCAGATTTGCTTGTCTTTTTAGTTTTGTGTGTGTGTGTGTGTGTGTGTGTGTAGTTTTCTTTTTGTTTGTTTGTGGTTTTTTTCTCTCTCTTAATTGGCTTCTGCACTTAAGAGTAATGTCAAGCCAGGTTTGGAAGGTGAGGAACATAGTGTGTGGCAGAGAGGATGAGTCATGCCACGACCCTTGGCAAACAGCTTTATCCACTTTATCCATCAGAACTGCCCAGAAACTTATGCTGACCTGGCTATGAAACTTGATTATTCCCACATTTTAATGTACAGAAAAACAGTAGAGGATAAAAAATGTGCATTTTTAGAGGGAAAAAATCGTAAGTCGGGGTCACATCATAGATGTGTTTTGTCAGATAAACTCATGTATTGCCTAAATG